TGGGACTCTTAAATAAGGCTACGACCGCTTCCTTCCACAGCCTTCTAATTCATTATTCACTAATATCACTATCAATCGACGCTGTATAAAATAAGCTAATGAAAGCGATATTAAATAAATCACAAATAAAAAAACTCACGGCCCTTCAGAAGTTCTATTCTCTCTCTCTCCCCCCCCCCCCCCCCAACAAAAGACCTCTCTCCCCTCTTCTTGCCTCCTTCAAAATGGCAGTTTTCCAACACAATCTTTCCGAATGCAGTTATTGTATCCCCCTTTCGAAAAACATGCCCGCCCCGTCATAACCTAGTGGACGTCACTACGCCTAACTCTACTGTACTAAATCATACACCACCAAAGCCACGAGTGCCGAATGTCACTTTCTCTCCAATGAGTGACGTACTTATCACAACGGAACACCTTGTTCGCCTTATTTTTATCTCCATGCCCAAAAACTTGTTCGCACACACGTGATAAAGAATACGTAAGTTCCGAAACTCGGAAGAATCCATTCAGTATCCGCATGCCACTTTGCGTACGTAATCACTCACAACTGTTTTGGAATGTTGGGTGGACTACAAGAGAGTAGCCGAACTATTATATCATTCCTTTATTATTATGTATGAGTGATAAAGGACGACTGAACACATCACGGAAAAACTAGGCTTCGTACAGACACGAATCGACATTCCAACAGCTGAAAATATCCGAGGCCCAGTGGCGTGGCGTCCACACCGAGGCTGCCAAAGTGTCAATCTCTTATCCCGAGGCATTCTAAGTCTTCGGTACACAAAATCATGTAAAGAGATTGCTAAACTTGCAGCTGATGATGCCTTCCGCAAAAAGATTTTGCATGATTCGCCTCTGAACTCTCACCAGGGATAACAGATAAAAACGATTTTAAACTTGAACTGAATTGAAGCAAAACCTACGGTCTCATTTCTTTCAAAAGCGTGCCAACAAAAATTTGTAATGTTTCAGAAATGCAAAAGGATGCTGTCAGGGAATAACTTTACCACCAAGGATTCAATTAACGTTCATACAGGCGGCTACTTTATCGACCGATATAAATGTATAACACTGCCATCTGGAGAGCTGAGCTAAGAACTGAAGATAGTAGCCGTACTACAGCGCCAACTACAATCGGAGGCTTTAACTACATTCTCCATTCAGCTTCCGACATTCTTTTTTGTTTTTGTTTTTGTTTCTGTAATGTGACCTTGTACCACGATTGCAGGGACGTAAACTCAAGCCGTTTGTGGGGCCGGTATCCCACAGAATTATTCAACAGTTGATCTTATTTATCTGTGTTTGATGTGCGTGTTTCTGTTTGTTTCAAGAAATGCATTTCTGTTGACATTAATTTCGTCACAACAGTCATTCTTACTATTTACGGTTTGCTACTGTACAAGAATTCAGATTCAAGTGATACATTCCTCCTTAACACTGGTAACCATCTACAAAACAACATGGCGTCACAACACTGTGAGAACCTCAAATCCCAAACACATGCAACAAGTTTATTACAAATCTGAATCCCTGAATGTACTGAAATTAATGATGGTTTCAGAATGTGAACTGTAATATCCATAATTACGACATACACAATTATTAACTTAAAAATTTCGCTAATCTTAAATGTAATGTTATAACAACGGAATTTACCGCAATTTTTCAAAACGATGTCACTAAAATGTCTCCTTATGAAGTAAAAACTAAAGCCACCTATGAATGCATACAGGTGAGTGCAGAAAACTATATCAAGGCGAGGGTCGCTGTTTGAGCTTCCAGAATTTATCAGGATGTGATGGTTTCCCACTCTGTAAATCAAACCCTGGCTAACCAGCCTGAAGCAAATCGCTACCCCAGCTCATAATACACTTATAATTTAAAATTAAGAACATAATTCTCAACTAAAAAAATCTATGTCAGGCTATCAAATTTGGTACAAACCAAAACAAATGTCAGAAGGAATCGTCAGTTTCTCCTAAATCAAAACTGCGCTCCACACTTTACCACCCTGATTTGAGACCTTACAAACATCTGTGACCAAAACACACAGAATGGGGGACAAAACTTCTTATAACAAAGTGACGAAAACCTAGCCATGATTCTTACTGCTACATGAAATACCAGAGTACCCACACCACAACAGTTCTGATCAATACAGAAACTGCAAAGTAAAACATCATTGAATTCTTTATGCTGCAAGATGCATGAATGACGTCAATGTTCTTCAATTTAAAATATCAGTAGCTCCAATCACTGAGAATTGGATGTATACTCACATCACATTACTGACTGAGAATGACCTCAGAAATAATATCCTGAAGTACTTATATAACATCACCTGACACTCTGTATTTGTCGATGCAGAGTCCTTTACTCTTTGGAATGGTAAAAGATCTACTATGTAAGGAATGCAATACAGAACAACTACAACGCCAAATTACAAGCCATTTAAATCTGATACATGGACAGTTCTTTGCATGGCAATAACACAAACCACATAAGCGACCTATTGCGGTGTTCTCCAAATTTGGAAATCTTACCTTTCGTCCCTGTCAAGTAAGCAAAGACAAGGGAAAACCATAAAACCACTAGTTAATGTTATGCATCCATAAAACTGAAAATACAAGTACTCAATACTGCAACCACACAAAGAACCGACCATGAGGAAACTGACAAACGCAAATACACTAGATCGGATATGCACACATAAGAGGGAACGTGGTACGATTCGAGATTTGAAGCTTTCACGGCAACTAAAAGAGGTAGATAAGTGGTACAACTGTTTCCATGAATTGGAAGAGATTAAAAGAAGCTGCCAAAAAAAAAATATTAAAAGAAGCAAGTCCCACAATACTGGACTGTTCTTTGTATAGTCACTGTGCAACATTCATGCTGAGAGTGCAAGCAAAATGTTCTACATACATTCTCCATCTTAATTTATGCATTTATCATTGATACCTATGAATAGGATTCCCAAAAATCCTGTTAAATAATACGGGGGGAAAAATACAGAATTTTTGTGACAATTTTAATCTCCGCATCTTACGCAGGAAGTGACAAAACAAAAATATGGATAAACAAGGTGAAGAGAGGTGATCAAAGATGAACATAATCCTACAAGGAAAGAATTAGAGAAACAGCGTGAAGATGATCAGAATTTATTCTGAATCTAGTACAAGCATTAAAATGCCGAATCTCAGAGAACAAAAAGAAAACTGAAAATTTTACAACACTTTAAATAAAAAGTTGCTTTCTTATCAAGCACTAAATGATGGGAGATACTGACTGTACCAACTACACAAGAAATTATAATCATGCGACAAATTAAATGTCTAAGACACTTCCCGTTAAAGACAGGAAAGATTGTATGCGGCTTCAAAACTGAGAATCTTAAGTTTGTTTATGGTTTATTTAATCATGCCCTTGATTACAATTAAACTGCAGTGGATTAACTGAATGTAACGTAATGACACCTCCGAGAAACGCGGATAAATTTGTTTCATTTTTGCATTCATGACCCAATATGGCATAATGTTATTCCCTAGGACACGTCCAAGATAAAAAAACAACTCAAAGAAAATATAAATTCAACTGCTCCGCCGTTACGTTACTGGGCTTCTCGATTAACCATAAGCCACAAGAAACTTGAAGACAAAATACACAGGATTTTTGGTATCCCATACAACTTATATCAAAAGCAAACAAATAAGTTTACTACCACATTACTTCATTATAAATGGAACAACTGGCAAAATACAGAGAAATTCTTTGTTAATCATGTCAAATTAACCCACAGGAACTCTTTTACGTTCCTGTGCGTCAAACATAAAATGCAAGTCACTTACGAAACTGTTACGCGAATTTTCAATTACAATTGTAAATGTGATTATAAAATTATACTGATGAACACTTATGTGTGCATGCAAGTGCTGCATGATCAAAAAAAGTGTACAAGCTAAATACAGCACCATGCCCTCCCTACTTCATGGCCAGCGTTGACAGCACGAGAGGTACCACACAAAGAACGAATCAATTTTCATTATCACAAATCAATTATATTGCATAATTATTTATGTCATTCTCTTCAACTGCCTTTCCTTTGGTATTTGGCAACCAGAATAATATTTGACGATGCCTGTCATGTGATATGTTGCGCCACACAGATACTGACCGACATTTTACAGAAGCATGCAATATGACTAAACACATTCAATTTTGTTGTTCCAATTAACGTCCATCGAATCACAACAGTAAAAAAAAATTGAATTCTATACATATTTTTATTTTGCATATCTTCTTGGCCTCTAATTAAATTTTATCTGGATACAAACAGTTGATTGTATAAAGCTATAATTTTGCTCAGTAGAGAATTTCATAGCAAAATTGACTCTCAATTTTAAGTTTTAGTTACACTCACTGAAACTTGCAATATATCTTAAGGAGATTGATGAATGTCAATTTTCATCATCAATACTTTGAATACAATATTTCAAAAACGATGGGCTTTCTGGAAATTATCCATCGTCTTCATTCTTTGTTAAAAAGCACTATATTTTGGTGACTGTATTCTGTCTTCGTCCTCCGGCAAAGACCTGCTCTGTTGGGCCCGATCGATACGGCTAGTCCCTATCTCTGGGCTGGAGAATTTTCATACAAATTAATGTATCCAAA